AAAGCATTGGAAGATGGCATGAAAAGGTCAAAGGGGGCCTTGTCTACCAGAGCATTCCAACAAGTGCCTCGGGACATGAGAAGAAGAACAGCTAGTCATAATGTGAAGAGAGTACCAAAACGTTTACAAAAGAGAGGGGCAAGAGAAATGAAAGAGGACAATACACCGACTGTCAATGCAAACAAGAGAAAACCGGGAAGTTCCAGAGGCCGCATTCGTGCGGAGACGGCCAAGAAGTTGGGGATTTTGGCAGACAAGAAAAGAGCCTCTAAGGGCGCAACTAATGTGGCAGGAATTATGACTAGAGCTGCAAGGCCGAAGATACGCCAGAATGCTTTGAACGAGCCTCAGAAACCGCCGTCGAAGTTTCGAAAGCGACAAATTCACAAAACTTGGTTACCTACCCATCTATGGCATGCGAAGAGGGCGAAAATGACAGAACCCAAAGAGCCACTTTGGAGGATGGCTATACCACTCAATTCAACAGAAAAATCATACAGACCGACACATAGAGCAGGAGGAAGTAGAGGAGCTGTAGCTTGGGATATGAGTTACATGAGTACTATTGGTCTCAGAGGTTCAGTTGAGTCTATCGGAAATGTTCTTTTGGCCATAGGCATACCAGAGATGGATGTAAATTCAGCAAAGGGCGCAAAATGGAGAGCAGGGAAAAGGAGCTGGAATGGGTGGCTTAGCAGAGAAGTGAAAGAACAAAAACTCCAAATTGGCCCTGCCGTCGCGTTTTGGGACATTCATGAAGACTCAAATAGCAATGCTACCAATGTATCGAAAAAGTCAATGAGACAAGTTTTGATCAGAATTCATCCTTCTGCATTCCTTGAAGCATGGACTGAGCTCCTACGCCTGTCGAAATTGCAACACCCAACCGTCCAGCTTGAAGACCTTCGTTTTGAAATAGGAAGTATCGAAATGACAGGTCCTGGTTCAACAGAAGCTTTAATTGGTATACTTCATCCATACTTCCAGTCCGAAGATGATCAAGAGCCACATGCACAAACCTTTACTTCGCTAGCTGGTGTTACCAATCCTGCATCTTTACCCGCAAATTCTGTATTGTCATTCTCAATTATGGATCCTAGACTTCGATATCCACCTCGCAAGGTTGAACTTCCAGATCCTGCTGACGAGGAAGCGAACTTTGAATTGGCGGAATTATTGTCTTCTTGGCCGGCAGATCAGTCGCCCGCTTCATCACACCTCTTTGATCGAGACACGCGATACAGAGCTACTCGTCTTCCTTCACAAAAAGCCCTGAATCGCCGCAAAACTCTGGCACCACCAGGCACTTTTCCTTCCATCTCAGAACGTGATCCTCCTATACCAATCATGCTTCTCGCATCAAGAATGTTAAAATCCTCAGCAGCACAAGGTAGCTGGACTCTTCTCGCTCCATGGAAGTGTATACTACCAATTTGGTACGGTTTAATGCATTTCCCCTTGTCATCTGGTGCCAATCCTCGTTTCGGAGGTCTACAGGAGTTGAGACAATCACACTTTGAGCATGGAGCTCCATGGTTTCCAGCTGATTATCCTGGAACAAATGCTGGGTACGCTTGGGAGGTCGAACAGAGGTTGAAAAGAAAACGAGAATGGGACAAGAGACCCAAAGGCAAGAGAGTCGAGTGGAAATCTCTTGATCTTGGTGGTGGAAGGAAAGGGGAGCTTGGATTGGGCTGGGCATGTGATTTTGAGAAAGTGGCCGGGCTGTCTTCACTACCTGGTAATGAACAGAGTAATGCGAGTAGTAGTGATGGGCCAGAAACTACCGCTGAGCCTAAAGACAACGCTATCGAGAATCCTTTCAACCAACTCTCTAGTAGGACATTCTCTTCTCTGATTTCATCTCCCACGGCAGACCTTCCAGCATCCACAGAACTCACCACTATCCGTCTAACGCTCTTAACTCGTGGGGTCGCTACTCCCAGCGCTCGTATATACCGTCTCCCAGCCGAATCAAATCTTAGCGAAAACTCTATAAACTGTACTTCTACGACACCCCCCACTCTCCGTCAAGAATGGCTTTCCCTCGTTCCCGCGCCTCTGCATAAGAAACCCCCACCTAACCCCAAAGCCAAAGACCTTAAAAATATCGGCAAAATACCATTCAACACACCACTCCCCCAACGTGTGCAACTTCTTGCAAAATCTCTGCTGCAAAACCCTCCATTACAGTATCCAAAAGAGAAAAATGATTCGGAGAATCATCCTATGGTTCCTGGGGAGGAAGATCTCGTTGGGTTCGTTACTACTGGGGAATACAATTTGGCGGAGGGGAAAGGTGTCGCGTTTGGGACGGTGTTTGCGAGGGAGATGGTTAAGGAGACGAGGAGTAGGGGATTGAGGGAGGGGTGTTTGTGTGTGGTGAGGAATGCGGGGGAGACGGTGGGGAGATTGGCGAGGTGGGAGAGCGCTTGATGCTTGAGTGTAGGGTCGTAGTATTGTGATGATGAGTGTTTTGTTCGGGATGATGGGAGTATATGATATACCTACTTTTACTCCCTGTACGAATCGTAAGCCATGGATTTCGAGTCGATCCCGTTGTTGGAGCAAGATTTCAATGACAAAACATATCTATGAGGCGTTAACCTTAGTATAACATTCATAAACTCAATCGTCTACACATCATCACTTTCTTCGGTTCGTTGTGGTTCATATTAAATAGACAGATAAAAAGCATAAAGTATCCAAAACATCACATCAGCAAGCGAGCAAGTAAAAAGCCGTAGAAAGATATTCGTGTTATTGCACTGTGCAAAAGTGTATGGAATAGATTTATATCGTGGTTCTTAACGCTCCTATCCTATCCATCCCTGCAATAACACTTTTCCCTCAATCAAAGAGGCCACTAATCTTCTTGGGCTAATTCACCTGGGCTAATTCACCTGGGCTAATTCACCTGAGCCATATCAAAGTCCGCTTAAGCGACAGCCGATGTATCTGGCAAATGTAGATATGCATCGGAATCCGGTTGTCCAAATCACACTTAACATGAATCTCCCAAAATGTTTTAGATCATCACAGCCAAAGGCCGAACATCCAATTTGGAAATTGATTGCTCAAGAGGATATCCATAACCAACAACCGACACCATGAAAGTATCTAAACTTCAATGAAATCCCATGCAGTTCCCTCCCCATCCGTCTCCACCAACTCCGTCTCATCATTCCCAATTTTCATCTGGCGAAACTTGTCCCCATGCAACATTAACAAGAGATGTCCACCGGATGGATGAGCTCTCGTACAGAACCATTCATGGTTCCGATGGTGAGCAACCTTGCAATAAAATTTCCCCTTGTTATCATGACCAAAGAATTGTCCGGAGACGCAGTTGCGGAAGCCAAACCATCCATCGCGCTCTATGCATGTCCAATGACACCCTCCGGCTCGAGGGACATTGGGAGATATTTGGAGAGTTCCCTCTTTGAGTGTAATTACCCCACCATGATTGCGATCTCGAATCATGAATGTCTTTCCAGCGTGTGGAACTGTGTCGCGGGATAGCGAGCGAGGACGAGAGAGGAAATCTTCGGTCATGATTGTGTGGGTGGGTGTGTTGGAGCCAGCCGTGAAAGACGTTGTTTCGGCAATCGAAGCGGCGTTATCTTCTTCATAGCCGGTTTCTACCTTGGAGATATTCGCAAGGAGACTGGGGATATCGAGTAAGGTAAGGTTTGGTTGTAATGGCCCTTCGATTTCAATCCGCAAAACATCTTTCCATGGTGTTTTGTCTGGTAGATCTTTGGCATCGAGAAACATATAGACTTTCGCACTAGCCAATTGCACGGCATTTGGAAGCTCACCAATATGGGCGAGAGACTTTTGGAAAGACTTGATGTCGGATTTTTGTGAAGCGGGCCGCGAAAAGTCAGGGATCAATCTTACTGTGAGAGAGCTGATTTCACTTTGTCGGAGAACGATTTCTGTTGAGAATGGGGTACGGAGCTTCCAATCTTTTGGTCCGGAACCTCCAATATCAGAGAGATCGCCGGAGATAATAAGATGTGGAAGTGATTCTTCGCGTTCGAGGCCATACTTCTGAAGTTTGGCGATAAGCTCGTCCACATGCAGGTTCTTGGAGGGGTTCATGTTGAAGATAAGAGATGCTGATCGCCTGTGAAAAATTCCCAGCAAATTCAGAAACGTTAGCCACTCGAAGTAAACGTTGATCTCATAAATCTCAGTTCGTCGACCCAGTATCACTCCTGAGTGTTTGCTTTTCTCCTTGAACCTTAACGTTATGATAGAGATTTGATGGCTCCGTTTGCCTTGCCACGTGTGGCTGTGCCTTACGCACACTTATGAAGATGGCACTGCATATTTATGCACCTTATCACTCCAATGAACAGGTTCATTGATATTTTATATTCGTATTCTATTGGTAAAGTGATTGATCAGCGGTTACTCGACTTGCTGTGATGCCAGTCTGTACAGCTCGCTTCGTGATTCGATCAGATTCTTGTCATGTCATCGTTCTTAAAAATATGTGTGGGTCTAGTAATGCAATACCAAAACGAGTAGCGAAATCATGTGATTGGGGTCTAGCGGCTGATCAATGTGCACCTCAATAGTGGCTAAAACGACCTTACCTCATTTCGTCCCGTTGCATTCTTTACTTCATCTAGGCCAACGACCCCCAAAGTCTGTCTATTTTATTGTGGTAATGATATGAAAGTTTCATTATAAATACCTCCTTCTGATTTCAAATCCACTCTGCGGCTTTGGTTCTACAAGTTCAGTGGATCAACATGCGTCTTGCTTGCCTCTTTTTTGCTTACATTAATCACATTTCAAGTTTATTATCATTGCAGCCTCGTGGATGGTATTGTAGTATTCTGTTTGAAGATTCGACGAAGTCCCCAAGTATCACAACCTTGCTTACGATACAATTCATAGCTGTGGTTGGATATGAGTATCAAACAATCACAAGCTACAACTACTCGGAATCCTACTCGATCTATTCCTTAACGAGATTTCGCTTTTTAAACGAGTAGCCAGCCATAAAGCAGAATAACCTTGCTTCGTTTCGGCGGATTATCGTCGGAAAGAGTTTTGACGACATGAGCGAGAGAGCGGGAGAAACGATAAGCCTTTGTTTTATCACCAAATGAGGTGCCTACAAACTCGTACGGCTTGCAGATATAGTTAATGGTAGCAAGACCTGTGGCTAAAATGAGGGGCTTCTTTTCGAGAACAAGCATTCAAATGCTCATATCTTGCAGCCTAGTTTTTTTGTAAAGGGCAATCGAATAATACTTGATTCAGTTTAGTCTCGTTAGCGTGTCGCCATTTTAGTCGCTCCCGCAGTCTGTAATACTATATGCAGTGAGATAGCTCAACTGCAGAGTATACGCGTTGTGATTGGCTGAATATCGATGCAGCATCAAGCCAAATGTCAACGCGCGCCCAATGCTGGCATCCGGCTGCTGCTCTATTATTCTATTCGTGCTGATATTATCTTCTAGTACTTATTTACCTTGTGAAGATAATTTAGTGTGAGGCTGATTAAGGTACAGGCGAGAGACTCTACAACGCCGTTTCGTTCAACCCATATTTTAGGCTGCCGTTTTCGGATCGAAAGATATCTACAATACATATATCTAATTTTCCAAATACGCAATGAAAAATTAAACCAGGACACTCAAAATTTACCGTTTCTATGTCGTAACGCTCCAAATCGCGCACTCCCTTCTCGGATCTTCCTATCGAGCTTCGCTTAGTTGTCTGGAGTCTTGCAATATCTCCCCGAGTTGTAGTAGTCCGATACAACTATGCAAAAGAATTTTGCGTCTCAAAGGACATCCCCTCATTACTCCTCGTTTCGCACGAAGCTCGAGTCGAAGCTCTTCAAAGCTATGAAAAAGGTTTTGGAACTCGTAACAAAGTCCATTCGAAGATTTACTTCAACTACGAACTTGACACTGTTGACTTTGATTGGAAATCCCTCCGAGATTCCTATCCGTGCCGTCATATGCTTTATCACGAAGATCGTTGTCGAATCAAACGAATCCGTATGTCGGACGAGACTCTTTATTTCTAGTCAAACATAGGATGCGAGGTTTTAATTTCTTCCAAGGCCTCGAAGAAGTCTCTATTTCGGGATGCTATGGAGGTGTGGTGAGATCTAGAGAAATATTTCTTGTCTAGATTAAGCAAATGGTTCATGGATGACATGGATGACATGGAATACTCTCCTGTCGAAAACGGACAATTGCTACCGAGGCTTAGTTGTCTGGATGCTGGATGACGATCGCGATTGTCCAAGGCATTTTTGGTTTCGGCAGTGGAATAATTGGACCGGGCCAAGAGGAACACGGAAGATGGTCTGGACTGGCATGTTTATGGAGGCTTACATAGATCTTGGTCTCTCAGATTGAAAGAGGTGAAGGATGCTGTCCAGAAATCAGTCGGAGTTGTGTCATGCTTGGGCATGACGGATTTTGACCTTGAGTCTCAAAATTTGTGTTTTGTCAACATGTTTTATCAACCCAGTTCTTGATAACTAGCAACTCAGATATGGATAGCAAGGACCTTGCGGGGGTGATATCTGAGTGCAGGACTTCATGAATCTGAGCACAAACGATATACTTTGAGACCAAAATATATATCTACGTGAGAAGCTCTCAATCACAGGAATTATGCGAATGGCTAAACGAAGTGCAATTATTGACTTATGCCATCTTAGTTTCAACTTCTGTAACTAGTTACCCAGGGAAACTAATCATTTTCAAGATGATTGTCCATTTGAACCAATGATATTAACAGCATGCTAGCCACTCCAATAAATCACATGAATCTGGTGAACTTAACAACACGCTGGAAAAGAAACTCAAGTAATTGTAACAAGCTTGCTTATCAATTCAGTTCTGAAAGCTTTGCTCCCTTCTGCGCTATGAGATGTGGTTGTCTCTGACATGTAAGATAACTGGAAGTTGAAATCATGCGACTTCACCGCCTTTTGGCAGAATGTTGGTTCGCAATATCAACGACTTCCCAAATCTTCAAGACCACAAATTCTCCGCGCAATTCTCAAACCCATTTCAACCATATCTTATAGTTTATTTCGGTTTCTTCAGTTGTCTGTATTTCACCATAACCGCAATGCCCAAAGAAAAGTCTGTCAATCCCGCACAAGCCCAGCGCAAAGCTGAAAAGGCAAAAGCTATCAAGAAAAGTACGCAATCAATCATCCAATTCTCCGACAATGTTATTTAACTCGAGCATAATACTGACTTATCCTCAGGTAAGGCATCTTTACAAGCTCAGAAGAATGAACGACTGGCCAAGAAAAATCCACAACGTCTACAATCCCAACTCGACGACCTCAAGAAGATAGAAAGTTCTGGCGGGAAACTCACAAGTCATGAACGATCACTGGTAGAAGGATTAGAGAAGGAGATCAAAGCTGTAAACAAAGCGCGCGAATCTTTAGGCGATGCAGCACCTCAGTTTTCGCAGTCGAGGGGTGGGTTTGGTGGAGACAGGGGAGGAAGAGGAGGGTTTGGGGGACGAGGCGGGAGCGGTGTTTTGGGCAAACGAAGAAGAGATGGGGACATGGATGAAGAGAGTAGTGGGTCGGATGTTGACGAAGAGGTTAAGAGAATACCCATGCCGAGGGATACACCACCTCCGTTCCCCAAAGAAGTACTGGATAAATGGTACGCGGCGCGACGGGCGCGGTATCAGGCACAGAATGAAAATCAAAACGGCGAGAAGAGTGGAGGCACAAGCGCGAATTCTATGCCATTGGGAGGAAAGGATCGCGGGGAATTTGGTAATCGGGATACTGGAACTGGTGTTAAAGTACCGCAGGAAGTCAAGACGGTATATGAAGCGAAGCCACAAATACGAGATTTACGGAAGGAAGCTGTGGCTTTTGTTCCCGCGGCTGTGAGGATGAAAATGCAAAAGGGAAAGGGAGAAGGTGGCTTGATGGAACCGGAAGAGATGGAAAAATTAGAAAAAGAAGGTTATATTGCTGGCAGTGGTGGGCAAAGGAAAGAAACTGAGGAAGGTGGTCAAATGACCGTAGAGATGGAGGAAGTGGAGGACGAAGAATATGCTTGAGTTGCATTACCAAGTGCGGAGAGAATATATGTACGATATACGAGCTGAATGATACCCCCCGAAATGCAATTTTACATCTTCAAAAGACTCTCCAGATGATCACTCAAAGGCAATCATCAGAACCGAGAGAGGAAAATTCCTAAGATTGTTGATAGATTAGGAACAGTGTTCCACCGGATGCCTTTCTCGCTATTGACGTGTCGGAATATATATGAGAAAATTCATGTCCAATATACAGTCACACATCCGCATTCAAGGAAATGCATATGGCAAAAGGCTCGTTCACAACAAGGAAAGTGGACACTTCAAGACACGGGGGTCTGAATGACATGTTACGAAGAGAAATGGGCAAAAGAAGAGGATAATAGTGTCTGGGTGAGATTTTGCAAATTAGATGGAATAACGTTCATACAACATGAAGGAAATTGAGCAAATGAACCCGAGAAAATCAATAAAAGTTACCCACCTAGCAATTTTAGTTTTCCAGCATTTCTCTACTCACTCGTTTATGTCTCCTGATTCTTTTCCCGTGGAAACGGTCCAGAATCTTATGATATAGCTTCACATCCTCAATCGCTAGCTCAAGCACTGGAACGTCCAACGTTTGTCGATAATGCAGGTTCCTACGCGATTAGTGGATATTTTTGTGGCACGAACTATCCCAAGTTGAACTTGCATATGAAATGTCTTGGTTACGTTGCTTTATGATTGTAGATGGACAGTCAGCGTTATTTAGCGACTCAGAATGTGCTTGGGATAGGTCTTGCTGGCGTTGTTATTGCTTGAAATAGCATCGTAGTTCACGAAAGAGATTGTATACAGTACTTGTATTTGTACTGAAGGCCCCTTGCGCATGATCATGTAGCGGCATCAATACACTCACAACGTACAGCAACCGCTTTCTTGTCTGTATACTTGAGGGCCCACGGACTCGAAATTAAGATGCCTTGGAGGATTGGATGGTCAAGCAAGCTGTGTTTTGGTTCAATCGATGAAAAGAATTGAGTCCTCTCGCTTCAAGCGTTGGCCGGACGTGCAGTTCAGTTACAATCGATTATAGGTCTGGGCTAATTATCTACTCATGGTTTTGTTGCTTCTTTCTGAACACGAATTTCTTCTTATTTCTCTATTGCTCCATTCAGATTCTACTGGATTGATGGGGCCATGGAAAAGTTGTTCATCTTTGTTATCAGTATTCACTCGTTCCATGGTACGGATAGCTAGCACGAATGTACATCGTACTTTTCAAGGCCAGGCGTCTGCTTCTTACCATTGTTTACGATTCTGGTCCTATTTTTTCTACAATAATTTGTGTTTGGATAGTTGGCTGGGGCGAGGACTAGCTCATCAATATCATCTATCATCCAGAATGGATTGTTGTGTACACTATCTAATCTTTGGAATTCGACCCATAACTGAATGGGGCTTGAGCATGTCAACTGCACTTTACTTGAATGTCTTAGTAAGCTATCTCTTGGGGGACTGCGCTATCATCTCTATCTACACTAGATTTCATAGTGAAAATTTAACCTGTTAGAAGTGAACTATAGTACTTCACATGGATTTTTCAATTTGAAATGTTTTTTATATAAAAGAGTAAGACTCATTGGATTATATGATATATTAAAATACTATATTATTTCAAAATCCTTGAAAGATTTGAAAGATTATATTGTGAATATAAGATTCAAAAATTATTTTGGATTGAAAAATCTATATGAAGTGCTATTGTGAGCATCCCGAAAGCCTTTATTTGACATCTAAAGACAACTATTCATTCATATAGACCAGATATCACACCAAATATAAATCGGTTACTATGAATTCGTTGTATGCACTATTGTATCGCTCGAGACTTTTTAAGAACGCAATGAAACTGAATGCTATGATGACTTACTAATAGCTAATAGCTGGGTACCGGTGTAAAGCTTGGTGTGATGTCGTTGTCTGAGTTTTTGCCTTATGAGAAGTCGTAAAGCCTATAACATACATCAGAGGAGCTTTTGGACTGTTAGGTCATAACGTCTCGATTAGTTGAGGTGCAATAGGTTAAGGTAGTCATGCACACGTCATTCACACTCAGGTGCGTCATGAATAGATCTACACGAACCCCAATATTTCATTTCAAGGTCTTCCACTGCGAGTGCCACCAGCTCCTGGAATAACTTCTATTATTGCCGAGATTCTTCCATTTGGTCTATACAAGAATTCAATTGTGGAATTTCCGTAGCAAGTTCCCAATATCTTAGGGAGCGTGCATCACTAGCAATATCAGCCAATTTAGAGCTTTTGACGAACTCCAGCAACTAAGCGAATCGTTGTGGAAGAAGCTTCATGCCAACTTACAAGCAAGGGCATGCCACTCGAGTTTGTTCTCCTCGAGCCGGGTGTCGAGTACACGCATTCCCCCCTATTGGACCCCTTCCATCTTCCTCACTAAGACTCTGGGTTGAGTTCAAACTTCAAGACCACTACGCTTTCAGAGTGATAAACACTGATATATCTGCTGGTTTGGAACCATCAGATATCTTCAGATAAGTGCTAAATATTGGTTCTTGGGCAAGCAAATGAGAGACAATCTGATGCTGATGAAAGGGTTTTGTTCTAAGATGATGGTTACTAGATTAATGTTCATTATCACTTGACTCCTTTTTTGGAGGTTTACATGTCCATTAGTACTTACTTACGCTGAATGTTAAATCGACAAGTTCTTCCTCCATTGCCATCTAATTTCCAAACTAGAATTCATTTGCTCATCCCATTTTCACAGCCCCTATTCATACACATACGCATATGCACATCCATATCCCCTAACCCCAGACCTCCTCCCCCCTATCATCCTAGTATTCCCTACCTTCTTTCATACCACTCTCTCCTATCACTACTCCCTAACAAATCTTCAATCTATACAAAAAAGCCCAAGCACACATATCAATCATCCTACCTACATGCTTCATATCTCATATCTCACAACTCTCCAACTTCTCGCTAAGCCCACCAGCCCCCTCACTCACTCCCGCAAGTATCCCAACCATAATACGCTACCAATAGCCGAATAGCCATTTAAATACTCCACTTTACTATATCTCTATATCTCTCTATTCTCTCGCAACGATCAAGTCTCCTTTGATTTGAATACTGATCATCAACCAATAACCACACAATCATCAACCACAATCCATCACCCATCATTCCTCACCTATCCACCAGGACCCCAAAACAACCCCAAACCCTTAAGAAACCCAAACACAACCCAACACACTGAGGAACCCTAATTATCCACCCATCCACACCGCGATTTTCTTCATTTTCCTTTCAACATTCATAGGTACTCAACCTCCTCGTATTATGGTCCGGAAATTTAATCTAGAGTCTCGAATTTGTATATAAAACATACACATTATATCAACCCATATTTTGGAAGGATTTCTACGAAAGAGGTTTACGTGATCTTTTGGATAGATTTCATTCATCCTGCAAATCGCGCTGAGATATTTTAGTATATAATTATGATTCTACAATATCTTGCAGTTTTGTAGGGGGCGACGATGTGTTTACATCGAATGATATCGAGTACGAAAGAACTAATCCATTCCATCTCATCTCATCTCATCTCACAAGTTCTGAATTCAAAACGTTTTGATTTGATAGATATTGTATTCTCTATTCCTTACCCTCTTTTCAAAAGCCCAATTCATCACCAACTCAAGACTCATCATCATTATCATATTCATGATCATAGACAAAATTCAGTCCCGAATCCAAAACAACCCATCCCCATCAACCCCCCACAACCTTGGAACCCAAACATCTCCTCGCCTAAGAAATCACTCCAAGCATCTCAAACAAATAAGTGTCTACTCTCATCTCAACTCATCAAGACAAACAAATACATACACTCCAAAGACTCCATAGAGCTAATCTCCGATTCATCATCAAATCACATGCTTGAAGTATCAAAAATCAAAAATCAACGCCACATCCTCGATCTCCCCTCCAAAAGGAGTCCGGAGTAACATCATCACAAATTTCAATTTTTCTGCATGAATTTGCCCCCGCGATATATACAAATCTCTCGATGGCAAAATCAAAACCAAGGTCATAGAGAATAGAGAATAGAGGATCACTCGATACACAGAGAACTAGTGAGAAATTCTAATCACTTGATGCCATCATCCATCTTACACACCGCGAGATGGGCGAGAAGGATTGATGGACTTTTCCCTACCAATCGGTCTTAATTCTCATTATCCAGCTGAGTGTCATCAAGGCCTTCCTCTCCCCTCACCCGCCACCTCGGGTTGTACTTTTTACCACCTGCCCAGCTACCTACCTAATCATAGTATACTTATTACTTATGTATTAACCCCACCAAGACAAGTCCTACCGCCGATTCCATGCTTCTACACATGTACACCTACCCCTCGCATCCTCCTCCCCTCACCCCAGCCTATAGAATTTGAATTTCCCAACTCCCACAAATGTTCTAGGCACGAAAGATGAAAGCGGCGTAATATCAGCATGTCATCACAACCACTAATAATCAAGATCCACCATCATTCATGTCATCCAACTCTCACTCAGCGAAGCTAAGTGCGGCTCACTACCTATGACTCAACAAGATGATAGGATACGATAGGATACGAAACGAAATAACACGCTATCACCTGTTTGACGATCCTCCGGGCGCGAAAACATGTGATGTAATTTGTAAGTTGTAAGTTGTGGGTGATGTATGATCAACTCCAGCATGAGACATTATGGAGATGAAATGAAATGAATGAGATGATGAAATTGGCGGGTGGGGGGCCAATGAGATGGAAATAGGCAGACAGATAAGCAGCGCCTGATGAGATTTGATCTGAACTGGGGATGTTGTAGGGTAGGTACTGTGTATGTGTGTATCTGGATACTTTTCTGGATAATAGGTAGCTAGGTAGCTAGGTAGATAGCTAGCAAAAAGGCGGTGGAGAGAAGGAATGGATCGGAGATGGATGGAGGTGAATGATGTGCTTGTATTGTATAGATGAATGTAGGCAGATCATAGCCTTGCTTTGCTTTGCTTGCCTTGCCTGCCTTGCCTGGCCTTGTCATGCATTGTCCCGCCTTACCTTACCTTGCCTGCCTTACCTACCTCACCTACCTCACCGACCAAATCTAAGGCTCTCTTCTTACTTCTTCCTTCTTACTTCAAGGCTGTACCTACCTAGTGAGTAACTACCCACCCAAAGAAAAGTAAATAAACAACTTCACCCATTTCATCTTCAGCCTGATACAAAATCAAGCCCAAACCTATCTATTTCCACGCGCTTCAAGCAAGTAGTATGTTCAGCACATGTTTCTCCTGCGTGTTTTGTTGCCTACTTACCTCCCTACCCAATACAATGAAATTCAACACAAAACCTATCTCGCTTCCACTACTCGACTTATCATTAGCAAATCCCAATTCTCAATCCCATTCCCATTCCCATTCCCAATTTCCAATTTCCAACCCAGCAGCATGGACACTCGACCCTCGACACATGACACGGCATGCGTTAAGTAATTTGGATAAAGAGAGTCGAGACTGACTAGGTATCTGATTCAAACAGGGGCCGCTTTCGGTAGAACAGGTAGGTAGGCAGCAGGCAACCGTCCCAGTAACCGAGTTGCACCGGAAACGAGAAATTGATTTGTTCCAAGCTTCGAGAAGGATTGGATCCTGGGTTGTTATTTGAGGGAGGGTGTGTACTTGATCAATTTGATTAATAGAAAGATGGATATATAGATTAATAGATTGATAGATGATTATATATATAATAATACTCATACTAATATTCATACTAATACTCATATAAATATTCATACTAATATTCATTTAAATATACTACTTCGTATATCTGTATATCTATATACATAACATCTCGACATCTACCTAATCAATAATTAATAATTAACAACCACATCATCTTGCAAATCGAAAGTATTCCATTTTCCTTTCCATTTTCCTTTCCATTTTCCTTTCCATTTTCCTTTCCATTTTCCTTTCCATTTTCCTTTCCATTTTCCTTTCCATTTTCCTTTCCATTTTCCTTTCCATTTTCCTTTCCATTTTCCTTTCCATTTTCCATTCCCTCTTCCCCCGTCCCTAGCAATTCAACTCCGAGATCCCGAACAAAAAAAAGAAACCGCATTCCTAATCTTAACAGCCCACCCTACAATACTCTACATCTACCTACCCAATGAGCCACCTAGGTAAATTCGACTCTAAAGTTCAAACCACACTCAACTCACCATGTGGCTGGATCCTCACCCTCTCTCCTCTGAGTCCTCTCCTCTCCTGTTCTATTCTGTTTCCACACCATCACATCACATCACATCACCTTATCCATACATCCATGCATGCATGCGTCCATCCCACCATCCATGATCCATCTATCCATCTATCCAATACCCACCTCCCATTTACGGATGATCAAACCTTGGCATTTCTACTAGATTTTTTCTAGAAGATTTCCCTTTCCATTCATCTATCTTTCCATCTACTAGTATCTAGTATCTCTCCCTCTCTATCTAGTCTCTAATTATTTAGATCTAATCTATCCTATCCTATCCTGTCCTATCCCACCTTAATCATACATTTCACGAAATAAGTTTGTCCTTTTATCTATCTAGATACCTACCTAGTATTCTTATCAAAATTTCGAGGGTTACTTACTTACTTACTTACTTACTTACTTACTTACTTACTTACTTACTTACTCACTTACTTATTTACTTACTCACTTACTTATTTACTTACTTACTAACTAAAATAGATAAATACTTTATAAATAAGATTAAATTATTCAGATTATATTATCCTGAATATTAAATTAAAATAAAGAAGAAGAAATAAAAATAAGTTTAACAAATAAATAAAAATATATAAATTTACAGAATCTCAAGTAAAATTGCTTCTTGCTTATTATCTAGTATTCACGAGTATATATATATATACTACTCTATATATAGATAGTTCTTTAAGACAAATAAATACTCGAGTAAATAGATACGTAGTAAAAACCATTTCAAATCTTACTCACCAGCTCACCGCACTACCTACAGCGAATTACTCACTCCATCTCCCTCGCGAAAAAATCTCGGAAGGTCGACTGATAAAAGATGAGTCAATCGAAATGTGCGGAGTTTTTCGGTGTATGGTTATGAATTATTATTATAATTTCGTATCTAGGTATCTAGGTAGGTATTATACTTTACGTTATTATCTGTCTACTATAGGATATAAGGAAAGGAAACTGGGATTCTGGAGGGTGTAATGTATTTATTATTATTATTAGTATTAGTATTATGAATCTTTAATAGTAGAGAGAGACTGTATGAAGTATAGTCAACGAGTTTCTGAATTATTACTCTATACCTAGGTACCTACGAAGTACAAACTCATGTATCAAATTATCCATCCAGCTTCTTCGTCTGTACTCGATGATTGAGCAAGGAACACCTAGTCAGTTTATTCAGACTTCACATTGGATTTGAGACTCGATTGGTTTGTATTATCGGAAAGAATAAGATTTCCCTGACCGTCTTGAAGAAGGCGTGGTTTCTCATCGTGTCGTGTCGCTCAGCTACCACCAACCGACCAGGGCAGTGAAAGCGTGACCGGTGACTAACTGACTAACTGACTGACTGACTGACTGACTGACCTACATTTCGGAGAGGAATTTCGCACCCCTCCAATAAATGGATCCCGTTCCTATGGTATCGTAAATGGTAATGCCAACAACGAACGCGGGGATGCCAGTCCAGTGAAGTGGAAAATAAGTACCTACCTATCCTTCCTTCATCATTACCACCCATGTCCTGGGAACATCCATCCCGATTCCACCCAGCACTCCCACCATCTGCATCTGCCACCCTTTCACGTCCGTGTTTTACATTTTTGATGATGTGTTTACTTGGGTGGTGGTCACCTGATGACTGACTGACTGGCATCGATTGATATTCGTTGTTACGCTCGTTGTTACGGTCAAGCCCAAGGAGATTCCCGAACAGCATTCTCGCGCTTCGTTGTAACTTGTCTCATCCCAACTGGTTTGGACATGAAGCTCTCGTGATGTCGAGATAGAGACTGCGTCCGGGCTAGTGTAGAGTAGGTACCTACCCTCGTATGGTACAGTATGACCATGACGAGAACAAGCGCATGGCGAACGAGACCAAAGGAGAAAGATTTACTTTTACTTTTACTTAGCACATAATTGAGAAGCTCGGACTTTTCTGTTGGACGCCTTTATTTTGCAGCCTGGAGTGGATGGAATTGACTCATCGATGGATTTCCGGATACCGATGCCCAAAATCGATATTAGAGGATTCTCTTTTTGGGCCGTCGGGGTTAATGAGTGAGGGTGAGGGTGAGGGTGAGGGTGAGGGTGAGAATGAGAAATGAGATGAGAAGTGGGATTTTCTTATCCCGACACGCCAGATTCTAGATTGGATGCTATTGGTGAGATGGAACTTCTCAAAACCAAGTATTGTATCTTGGGTACAAACAAACGGTAGGTAATAACCGTAACATGCTACAGTACACAAATCGGAGCAGATGGCCAAAAAAACAAACCAAACGAAATATCTCGAATTTTCCACTTCTCTCGATTCCACGAGGGGAAAAAGCGGATACCCACTTTCCTTCACTGAGGTCCTGCCTGTCCTGTGAAGGAATACTGCAGCCCGTAATCACAACGCCGGAAACGAGCATGGAGAAAAAAAAAAGCCATCCAAGCAAAGCTGCTGCTGCACGCTTATTATACTGGTTGTCGCCAAACCAATCACAATGTCAGCTTCGGATAAGGTGGGGGATATATTGGACACGGTCATTGGTCGTGTGCTTCAAGGGTATTATTAACAGTTATTTACGAAATGTTTATGGGATTCTCCTATTTGCTATCGACGCCTCTGTTTAGAAAGCCTTTGCTTCTGAGATGACTCGGCTGGTGACATACCAGATTCGATCTCATCGAGAATTACATACTGCTTACTTACGCTTATGAATCTCCAGGATTTTGATGTGAAAGATGCGAATGATTTGAAAGGCTGAACAAACGTTTAAGTTTCCTGTAGTTCTTCTTTTCTGTCTTTCCTTTCTTCCATATTTAGAGGGGGCTGATGAATATCGCTGAGTGATATCCGGGTGTGTTACCATAAGGTCATGAAACTGGTCATGATACCGGAAGCGACACGGCTAGGGAAGAGTTACAGACTACAGACTACAGTCGCATCCAATTACTTTTCTCTCGCTTCTGATTTCATTTTGCCTTGTCTTTGTGTTGCATCTATTTTGCTTTCCTGCATGATGTGAATCCCAAGGCGGGTGAGACTAGGAATGAGGGGTGGGTGGTGGTGAGAAGGCAAAAAGCTGGTGTGAGTACCTAGTACTTTGTAATACTGTAATTCTTTGTTTTCCGAATAGTCTCTGGATTTCGCCATTCCCGCCATTTTCCCGACGACCTTAGGTAATCCGTGATACGAATGATGATCGTAGGTAATAATCGTCGTACGGAGTACTTCGTAATGTCAGTGGCAATTAGCTGAATCTAAATTTGCAATGCATCATTTCACATTTCACATTTCATCGGCGATAATGAGCATGCATGTTGAGAAATGAATCGAACCTCTAGACTTCTTGGTTCCGCATGGGCAAACGGAAGTACCGAGTGGAATGCGCAATGGCGAAGAGGCTGAGGAAATCACTCGTGCCTAGGTAGGTGTGTCGATTCTCCGTATCAAAGCCATGCCGCACCGCACCAGAGATGATCTATGCATGGGATAGTCGGACTGGAATTTGAAATTGCCTTCTGTTATGAGGAGGGGGAAATTTGGAAAGTTGAAAATAGAACAGCAAGAGAGAGGATTCGTATGCCCATGCGTTTCATGAGATATTCACCGCACACCGAGATCGCAAATGCCGAGACTCCGTATTCCTAGGGACTGGAGGTAGATGATTAGATGATTAGATGATGCTCTTTCTTCTGAGCGGTGCGAGTCTCTTGGAAGGCATTTGATTGATGGGTTGAGTGATAGACATGGAGACTTTCAGCAGTGATGGCAAGGCTGTGTACGATCTTCCCGAGGTCATCATCGGTTGATTGCGCCGGTCGCGACGGGCTGAGCGATGAAATATTTTCTGTTCTGTCTGTGCAAGCAAGGCTCAATACGGCCAGCGTGGCAGCATCCAGCCGGATGAATGGGGGGATGTTTGGTGGGCGTGCTCTGTAATCGATCAATCATCAAGAGGAAAGGGAAATTGGAAAGGGCAGATGCTTAACAAGCAGAGACATGTACACTGATCAAATTCTTAATTACACTTCTTGATTATCATATCATACCATATCCTATGAAGTCGCGGAACACTGCATATTCTGCACGACATCGCTAGTTATGAGAAGTACTGTGGGCGTTTTATTTCCCAGAGTGAGTTACAACTTACTGGATAGTTATTAATGAGGCGAGAAGTATGAAGCATAGGTAGCATAGGTAGCATTTGATGGTTCGCAATTACATTACTGGTTTTGTTCTTGGAATAATATATTCTCGTCGCATCATTTTTGTGAATGGTAGAGGATGAAAGATATAGCTAGACTCGACTCAGTCGTACATTGAAATGAGTAGGTACTCTCGCCATAAGTACTTGATACTATTATCATAACGGATCTAAGCATTCAACGTTGTTTTCTTTCTTGATGAATCGTCAACTGATTGATTATTTGAATGACCACCATATTTTCTTCTTTCTTTCGTTCCTACTTGCTTGCTTTTCTCGATTCGGGGGCTTCTCCTTCCCGTTCTACTGTATGATTCTCGGTTGGCTGATAATATGGCTGCAATGGCTTTGCAACTGGCGACGCATCCAACAATGTGATTTGTAGAAAATGGAAAAGTAACAAATGCTAAGACTCATCGATGCACATTGCTTGCAACTTACATCTGCTCTGTATTTCTCTCTCCCCAGTACGTGCCAGTGCCCACACACATCTCGATTTTTTCGTCGGGGGGGTGGACTGATCCTGGTTTCTCACTCACATCCCTTCATCAGTCATATCATTTCCGCAGAGCTGGTTGGCTCGTGGGAGAATGCTTTGCAAGAAAAGCATTTGGTTCCTCTCCCTCTCCGTAATCACCGTCGGTGCTGCCATGAAAAGCCAATGGACCATTCAGATGGGATTGAATGGGAGCACCCTCGCACCACGCTCATTCGCGCAACAGAAGTCAGAACCATGTTCGCCGCGGCAGGAATTGTAACAAAACAGCAGCCATGCCCGTCCGCATTCACAGATTTCTTCCCTCTTCATCGTCAACATGTATGATTCCCGAAACTTTTAAGTCGGCGGCTGCTTGAAGTCTGCACACATTATTGTTGAAAATTAAAACCATTTGATTGCATCACAATCACCTCTCGACTCTTTCATATATACATATTCTAAGGTTATATTCTTGTTAGAAAAAATAAAGATCTTTTAAAAAAAAAGGGAATTAAAAGCATCATAAAAAAAAAGGAAAAAAAAAGAGCAACATCGTTTAAACGGTTTGTTTGTTTGTTTGCTTGTTTGCTTGTCTTTATAGGATTCATTATACGATTATTCTTTACCTCTCCAGCTATTCTCCCTTGAAAGAGTTCCTTCATCTGGCCTCTTAATTCTCCCGTCAATTATCACCTCGATCGACCACGGTTTCACAGTTCCACGGCTCAATTCATACCTACCTACCTATCTACTTCGAAGTTCGTACATATCAATCACACGATTTCGGTTTCCTACACCTCACATCACCTTACCTCACCTCACCTCACTCACCTCACTCACCTCACCTCATAAATCATCTTAGCCGCCTGCCTGGTTGACTGACTGACCCTTTATTTTCGCCTGCTCGCCGCCTCACCGTTTGACCAGTTCATCCGTCGACATAGGTCTTCATCCATCTTCGACTCATACCTAGCTACCGTAATCTCGTCTTGTCTCGTCTCGTCTCGTGTCATCTCAACCCATCCAAATCCTAATCCATCTAGCCATCCATCCCCAAACAGGCGTCAATCTCCATCTCCCATCTCCATTTTCCCCACGACTCACGATCTCATCTTTTTGTTATACTATTTTCATCATTTCTACCTAAATTCAATTTACTTGATCCTTTCAAGGTTCGCCACCTCATTATTCTTATTACTTTGTTATTTATTATTCACTTGATCCAAAGAGCAAAGGGGTCACGAGATTTCTTTGTTGATTGATTGATTGATTTATTTATCTATCTATTTATTTTTTTATCGTATTTTGTTCATCCTTTATTAAAACTATTACACGATTCATAAAATACCTCCTCCCTCCAGTCAATCATCAGTCATCAGTCATCAGTCATCAATCATTCAACCCAAGCTCCCAAAAGAAACGGATTTGTACTCTTCACCTGAAGGCGAAACTGGACCTTGGCTGGTTACACATAAGATTGATTCACTCTGTACGAATTATCCATCTACTTGAGTACGTACTTGGTATTAAACAGCTAAACAGCTAAACAGCTAAACAGCTAAACAGCTAAACAGCTAAACACCTACCAAGACTCCCGTATACTTTATTACTCACTACTCACTACTCACTACGGTACCGGCTTTAACTTTATTTGTGGATCATCAAGTCTTCCAAGTTGCCACTAAAATCAGTCATACCCCATCAACAACTGAACACCTAAAAAGGTACCACCCACCCATATCACTCCTTCCCCCCAGACCATCCATCCATACCCTCCATACCCTCTCCATACCTACCCAAGACTCACAGCCTCACCTCAAACACTTTTTCGATATATTATCTATCTCTCATAAAAGAGTCAAATGTTAACTTTGTCTTAAAAATCAAAAAGATTATCGATCCTCTCTCTTCTCTCTTCTCTTCTCTTCTCTTCTCTTCTTCACTTTACTTCAAATAATCCATCGTGACTTCTGAGTCTTGAAAAGGATTATCGAACGGGAAAAGGAAAAAAGGAAAGGAAAGAGAAAGACTCATACTGCGAGCCTAAACTTTGTTAGTCTCAGTCGCCTTCGCAATTTTCGCCTCTTCATCCTATTCACAAAAACGCATTACTCACTCCACTCAATCCTTTGTTCAATGACAACCATCGGTTTATAACCCTCGACTTTCCTTTACTACCCATCGCGAATACATTCGCACACCTACACACCACACCACACCACACACACAGTACAGTACAACCATATTTCGAATGCTTGATTTTACTCTTTCATAAAAAGGCATACGTTTCACAAAACTACCCTTGACATACACACACACACCCTTACCCTCACCCTCTCGTCCAAAGTCGCGACCTTTGATGGGACGCTGGTTTACCCAATAAACTAGCCCACCATTTATCACAACAGTTACCATTTCACAAAACGGAAAGGTCAACATGCTCTTAGGTCTTTCAATTTCTTACCCAGTCGCCAGTCTTACATCGTCCAAATCTACCGGTTATATCGTTCCTGAAGAAATCATTGCGATCTCTTCTGCAAACTAGTCTTACCCTCCTCCTACCTCGATCATCTAGCTTCTGCAATAACTACCGCGTTGTTGCACGAGCCTGTATCTAGTCAGAAGGTTTCTTGGGAATAGTCTACAACGTTATAATCTAGATTTCGGCTTTGTACAGACGGCGACTGGAGTTTTATTTCGCATAGAACTTTTTCATTTCCGATTTACTTACAAAATACTCCAAATACACACGAAACACTTTGAAGATGCATTGCGGCGAAGATGATTTGTCGCCTTACACCTCATTTTGTAATGGTCCTTACAGTTCCTCGATAGCCTCGTCGGCTTCCTCCTCTACGTCGTCAGTTTGGTCCGATGCAGCTTCACAAGCATCCGACAACTCTTCCATCACCAGCGCCTCCTCCGATTCCGAACCTTCATACTTCTGCGCAAATCAACCTCCCCTTCCGACTATCGCAATCGATGTCTGCGAAAAAAATAACATTACAAAATTTTGGCCACAACAAAGGTTACCCGTGGAAATTGCCCCAGAAGAAAGGCAGAACCCCAGAAGGACTAGTGTCGGATCTAGTACCCGCACAGGTCGTCCTCCTACCCTGATACGTCAAGCTGATCGCAAGGTCAACTTTGTTGACAGCCTCGTCGGTAAGCTTACTATGTATTCCTGATGATCCCCAAGTCCATGCGCTCAACCATTCCCCAGATTCTTCGGCTTTGATTGTCGAAGCCATATGGCCCCTTTCAACCGTCGCTTGTAGAAGCGAAATGGGTAAAGGTGTCCTCCCTCTGCGCATCTTCATCCAAGAAACCTTGAGAAGATCAAGGACCAGCTACTCGACTCTTCAAGTCGCCTTGTACTACCTGATCTTGATCAAACCATTTGTACCAAAGACCGATTTTACTATGGAGCAAGCGGATGATACTCAATCATTCCGGGCTTTACAATGTGGTCGACGAATGTTCCTCTCTGCGCTTATTCTCGCATCGAAATATTTGCAAGACAGAAACTACTCGTCTCGCGCTTGGAGTAAGATTTCTGGACTACCCACTTTGGAAATCAATCAAAACGAAATAGCATTCCTCCTCGCTGTGAAGTGGGAGTTGCACATTACCGAGAAAGTTTTTCAACGTTGGACCGACATTGTTTTGAACTATACACCATCATCGCAGCCTCCATCCCCAGGAGCCTCTACTTTGAGTATCGCAGAGCAATCGGTTGAGTGGAAACGAATTGTTCTCCAGCTCAACCCGGAATTGGATAACATAAAAGAAATCACGAGTCCATCTCACAAAGAAGTTTGTGGTCTTCCATTGAGACCTTTCACGCCATTGTCTGCATATCATTTTTCAGGTTCCAATGAGCCCACCTCGTCTCCAAAGCATTATTCACCTCATGTCATGGAGCCATCACCATCAGCCACGTATCCAACTGTTAGACCTGTACCGGCTCTTGGCCTTCTCCCAACTCCACGATTGACTCCCCAGAGTACGGGATACAACACTCCTGCTGTGAGTGCTGCATCTTACATGCTCGGTAAATCATCCATGAGTCTCGCCATGGCACAGACAAACTTCTGCGGCCCGCAAGCGACTGAAAAGTGGGCAGGTCAATTGACCTCATCCCCACAAGGTTATTCCTGCAATCGTCGATCATCCTTGGCCAACTCGGTCTCGTCTATGTCTTCGCCAGAATCAATGGTTTCGGATACTTCATCAAGAACATCTCGTTCATCTTCAATCTCATCTGCATCGTCAGTGACGAGTGCGCCGGTCTCAGCAAAGCTGGATGTCCAGGCGCGTTGTCGATATGCGAAGTTGTGTAGTGAGAAGAAGAATAGAAATGTTATTGTGACAGTGGCCGAATTGTGTGAAAGCTACGACGAAGTTGGGGCCGATGCATTAGATGAAGCCGCACGAACTTTATACGAATTGCACCGCCAATCCGTATCTGTGGACTCATCTAACAGAGTTGATGACAAACCCGCGCATACATCTAACAGAGCTGGTGCTAAACGAAGTAGGACTCATTCACTTGAAGCTTCTCTTCATGATAACGTACGAGACCTGTTGATGACTGGGGGTATGGCACACGTTTTGGCCAAGCCAGGTGGACATGCTAGCGATGTGCAAATTTTGCCAGCGGCATCGTCTGGAAGAAAGAGACTATGTTGTGCGACCGAAGCTGCTCGAGGACTTTCTCAAACAAATATCCACCCAGCTTTTCGCCCGGGAATGTGGGAGGGAATACTAAATTAATACACCTTACCGACTTATACATACACTACAACACACTTGTCACAACAGATTTTCTTTTTCGTTTGTCTTTTTTTAGTTGGTTGGCAAAAGAGACAGTGCAATGGCCACATCTAGCCTTCACGCATCATCACATACCATGGGAATCGGATTTTAGATGGCGTGACTGCATATGCCGTTGATCATTTTATTGGAACACTGGAATTGAGGTCAATGGTACCCGGCTAATTTTCATGGAGATGGGGATAAGGGGAAGGAACATTGGGGGCATATATCGACAGGTTGGGGGATGCTTGTACGATGGTTGGCGAATGCTGGCTTGGCTTTGTTTTTAAATGGGAGTGGGTTGGTCAAGGGTGGAATCAATGCTATGTTGCGCGCGATGAAAATATTATATCATCATTGGTAAACATGTTGGAAGTGGGATGGATGGCGTGGAGTTGGAATCAACCGGTGGAGTTCTTACCTTTTTTATTATTTTACATTACTTTCTTTTCAAGTCAGGACAGATATGATATGGATGGATTTAAGCAGAAATGAATGGTGTGTGTTGGTGTGTTTAGTGGTGATGGTGATGGTGGTGATGAGAATGAATTGGTGGTGGTTGTGGTGATGAAAATTTGTCAGGTCATAGGCAAGATTTTCATGAAACATGGAATATGTATGTCTAACGGACGTTAGATCATAAAAACGTATTTTTCAAATACTATCTACCTACCTATCTATCTACCCTACCTACTACTACTTCTCTCTCGTGTGTGTGTATGTGGTTGATGTTGATGTTGAGGCTTTGGTGTATTGATGTTGATTGATGATTGATGATTAATGATTGATGATTGATGATTGATGATTGATGATTGATAATTGATGATTGATGATTGATGATTGATGATTGATGATTGATGATTGATGATTGATGATTGATGATTGATGATTGATGATTGATGATTGATGATTGATGATTGATGATTGATGATCGATGATTGATGATTGATGATTGATGATTGATGATTGATGATTGATGATTGATGATCGATGATTGATGATCGATGATATATATAAGGTGAGTCTTCCCCGATTCATTTGTTGTATTTTGTTTCATTTCATTCTGTTGTTTCTGGTTTTTGTATAGAGAGCGAGAATGTTGAGAAGTTTAGGGGGGATGGGAATGGGGATGGGGATGGGGATGGGGATGGGGATGGGGATGGGGATGGGGATGGGGATGGGGATGAGGTGAGTTGGGATAGGAGTTGAGGAGAGGTGGGAGAGATATGAGATATTTGAGAGATTTGAGAGATTTGAGAGAGTAGATGAGTGAGTAATAAGTAGGTGAGTTAGTTGATATATAGGTGAGTATGTAAATTGGTATATATAGATGAGTATGTAAATTAGTATATATAGGTGAGTAAATGAGTTGGTAAATAAATTACTAAGTAAGATAAGATGAGAGACGAGATATCTAGGTAATTAATTATAAATTGAGATTTATATTTTGATATATATTAGATTTAGATATAGAGCAGATTTAAATATATATTAGATAAAGATATAGATTAGATTTAGATTTTAGAAGTAGTGTAGATCGATATGCGGATATTTATGTGTTTTGTTTTTATTTGTTCTATTGATTCTACCTATTCATAGAATTCTGAGATTGCGAGACTACGAGATTCTCAGATTACGAGAGTAAGTGAAAGTAAAAGTGAAGGGAAAGGAAAGAGATGGATAGGTTTTAAGAGAGATGAATGAATAAATGAATGGGAAGTTGGGATCTAGAAGTTGAAAGTTAGAAGTTAGAAATTGACATATACAATATATACTAGATATACGATATATAATATATAAATTAGATACAAGTAAATATACGAAATAAAGTAATTTCTATTTCCAGTACTATTTCCTAGAGGAGAGAGGAGAGAGGAGAGAGGGGATAATTATAGATAGATATCTAGATAGGTAGGAGATTAAAGAATAGATAGATAGGTGGAGAGAGTTTGGTTGATTAGAGGTAGAGAAGAGAAGAGAAGATAAAAGAGATTTGGTAAGTGATTTTGTAGGTTTATGATTTTGTGATTTTTACGTTGGGTTTTGGGTTTTTTGAGGGGTTTTGGTGTTTGGATATTTTATTTGGTTATATATGTTGTGTATGAGGGGTTGAAAGATTAATTAATATTTGAATAGAGATGGAGATGGAGATGGAGATGGAAATAGAAATGGAAATGAAGATGGAGATAAAGAAGAGGATAGAGATAGAAATGAAGATGGAGATAGAGATGAAGATAGAAAAGAAGATAGAGATGGAGATGAAGAGGTTTATATATATAAGAGAAAAGGAAAGTAATAGATATAGATGTAGATATAGATATAGATAAAATAGATGTAAATGAGTATTAGATAAGTTTATAGATATAAAATGATTATGGATTTATGTTTATATATTTTGTTTATACTAAATTTTACTCAATATCGAATAAGATATCTTTTTTTAAAGGAAGGGAGTATAGACTATCTAGATATAAGAGAGCTTTAAGAATAATAAGAGATAAAAGAGTTAATAAGATTGAGAAAAGATATATAAGTGATTACTATAGAGAATAAAGATAGATAAGAATGTTTATATTATTTTATTTTATTTTCGTTGATTTTTATATCTGACAATATTTCGACGAAGAGAGAAAGGAGTATATATAATAGAAGTTTAGAAGATAAGATAAGCTTTGATTCTCTCTCTGTATATAAATAGTATAGAGGATTGAATATATCTCTTCTTCATCTTAATCTATTTATAATGATATATAAGGAGAGAAGAGAATAGAAGAGAATAAGAGAATAAGATATTAAATCTTATAAATTATATATAGACTCGAATCCTACGATGTATTCTATAGAAGTTATTAATTTCGAGAGTATAATCGATATATAGAGGTCTATCTGATAAGATGAATAGATAAAAGTACTAATGGTGCTTTTATCTGTATATTCTACTGCTGTATACCTAGTTTTAGTAGATAAACTGAATGTATAAGTGAGTAAGTTAGTTAGTTGGAGTTTGATGAATTTCTATTTCATCTCTATATGATTCTAGTATATGATATGAGATATAAACATATGAATAGTATTATAGAGGTATGTAAATAAAGTAGAAAGGTAGAAACAACATCTGATTCTTATAACACTTCAAAGTCTTCAAGCAGACTCAGAAGTAAGTTCTAATAGAGACTCGGAGAGAATAGAAATCTCATATTTGAGTAAATTGTAAAGATATATCTGATATAGAAACTCTCTAGACTTGTATTAGAACATTAATATATAAATAAATGATATAAAGTCAAATTCAAAAATGGAAACCATAGAGTACAACAGCTGAATTTCCCCGGGTAGTACTTCTCCAAGCTAGTATTCCCAAATAGGAAATCCAGAAGGGGGTGATTTGTAGATATGCAACAAATGATGAAAATCACGGGGTATAGAGAGAGAGAAAGGCTCGATGCTTCCTTGAGTTATGTTTCTACTATACAAAAGGTATCTGAGTATCTGATTGGGAGTGAATTTGTAGATGTTTAGTAACATTGAAGATTGAGGGGGAAATTGAGGGGTAATGAAAAGGATTGAAATTTTTGCTTGGGACATTGGGGTTACGAAATGATTATTGAGGGAAGATTTACGTATCGAATGTTCAACTCGGGATGTTTATCTTGACATTGTGGTTGGTGATGTATAGATGAACAGTCAATAGCACGAATAAAAGTTCAGGAGAAACAACATTCTTTAAAGTATATTCTCGGAATCTTTCTAGAGAACTACATGTAATATCAATTGTCTATCAATTGAAGGTATATTCATCAGCACAGTCAGTTGACCAAGTAACATACATGTGTATAGACAAAATCTCAAAATTCACTCATGCCGTGGGTAGTGATTCCTCCAACTAGCGTGCCAAAATAGGAAATGACTTCCAAAATAGGAAGTCAAGAAGGGGGTGAATTGTAGATGTGCATCAAAAGACATTCTTGATTGTAGAATCACGGGATATGATGTGATGCAGAAGTTTCCGAATCATTCTATGGAGTGTTAGTCCCGGCTACTAGACCCATCGAGTCATTTCTTCGAAAGAGGAATTATTTGACGAGGAGATTGGAGATGGGAATTCGAATCGAACAGGTTTTGCCGGACCTTTTGGTACCAGCCTATCGGATATGGCGGAAGAAAAAATAGAATTGGAATCGTCACTTTGGGCTTGATTAGGCAAGAGGAGCATCATTCTTACTTTCACTATCTCATGTAAATGACGGGTGTGATACAATCATTTACGTATTTCTACCGGATTTTTCAATAGTAAATCATGACGTATGATGACAAAAGGTAAGGACTGTTTATCAATGACAGATCGAGTCCCAAAATTACAAAAAGGATCTGTTTTAGTCCAATGAAATACAACACACATGGAGAGAAAATACAGATATACAACAAACATCGAAACTTCATCAGAGTTGTTGTCATACTATGGGGTATTGTACTGGAGAATCTCAATCATCTTTCTGCAATCTCCCGAAAAGGGTGATTTGCTACTAAACGTGTGACTAGATGATAGATATGACAACCACAAATACTGACTAGACTTTTCTAGTCTTAACCTAAAAATTATTGTGGCAGAAATGGGCGAGCATTCTCTTGATGTGCCACGAACGAGATAGACAACACACGAAAAGGAGGCCTTCTTTACCAATCCTATACTAACGCAACTTAATCTTTACTTTAAATCAGAATTTTCACAGAACTGATTAGATTATTCCGATTTACCGGATGGATGAAGTTCATCATACATGCTAATCACTGATTAACCATTAGTACAATCAAAAAAGATGATCACACTCCGTCGGTGAATGTGACTCACCAAATATATGTTTTCATTCAGGGAAAATTTGAGCACTAGCTCAATAAAGTAGGAAATTCTCAAGGAGGTGATTTAGAGACACGCAAAATCGATTTTTTTTCATCGGATTTCTAGAGCTAGAGCTGGAGCTAGAGCTAGGTCGCGAGATATGAGGTGATATACCAAGAGAATTTATCTAGTTCATCCCAAGAGTCCATAAGAAATGACGAGACGACATTGTGGAAACGGTGTTCAATACTTTAAGTTTGGACGAAGTGAGTTAGATCATAGATCTTCATGATTTGTGGGGAGCATCAAGCTATCAACGTACTATTGGTTACTGTGGAGATCTATGTAGATGAGGCTCTGCAATCTAGCGTGCGGGGGATGGAAATTTCTAATGACCACTTTTGTTAGTCAAGTCTGAAAAGATCTTGGGGAAGGTTGGATGAAAAGTAATGGGGGGGATTGAGGAAAGACGAGGGTTTGATGGGTAAGCAAGAGGTTGAGATTCATCTCTTTGATAATAGCTTATCTTGGAATGAATATTCGACCTTTCAATAACTGTTAGGTATATGAAATCTCTGTTGCTCCGTCAATTTTCGCAAAGTATAATCTGTGGGATTTGAGTGAGATGTACTAGTGACTAGCAATGAAGCTTGGCTAGATTTTTCTCGGTCTGGTCAGAAGATAGGTATGATATGAGCAATTTTGAATCTAAGTTTTATTTTAGAAAGACAAATATGCTGTCTCTGTGATCCAAGTCTTTATTCATAGACTAGTATTGAAGAAGAGGATCCTGTCAGAGGTGGATAATGTCCTCAGTTGGCATAGTGCTCGAGTTTCTCGAACATCGAAACACAGAGAAAGCACCAGTACAAAAATGATGTGTGGAACTAACTACTAAAATCAAAATACTTGAACTTTAAAAGCTGATAAAGTACTAATTGCAACTATTACTCATCTGGGACTCCGAAAAAATGATGATAGAAGCTTGAACTTAGCTTTGATGGAGGAGGTCTATCACCCCGCATCAAAAAAAGACCGCAGGACTTGGGTTTACTACTACTTACACCAAATAAGAAGACACTTGCGTCCAAATTAGCCAATTTACAACCTTCAAGCACGCAATAATTGAGTCATCACCTAGTAAACTATGAAAAAGTGCAAGATCGTCATCAAAATTTTATTTTTAGGCCAAACTTTGTGCGTAATGTCAATATTCTCTACTAAACTTGAGTAGATCACATCTAATAGTTCCAAGAAGAGCGAAAATTTTCTCCAAACTATTGAAACTCTGCTATCAAGTAGCTCCAAAGAACCGATAGCCAGAATTCTCAATTACTATAAAGCGATTGGAAATTCCCTACTTCTCTGATTTTTTTTTTGAATCTCGAAATATCAAACATCGATCAAGACAGTACACACACCATTACCACACTTGACTACACGACAACACTTCAACACTTCAACATACAACATACAACAACACTTTACCATCAACGACAATAAGATATCAGGATGCATTTCTCAAAAGCTGCCATCACTGCCATCTTGGCCTTCACCTCAGTACAAGGTTTACCAACTGTAAGTTATACTTCCATCTCCTCTTAGATACTCTCAATGCAGACGAGCAATCAAAGGCATTCAATAACCGAACTTGATTGGGACACTCAAGTCACTTGAGGCACCAAGCTTGTTTTGGACATTGAAAGCTTCTTATTGTTTTACTAGTTCTATGGTTCAGACCCTTGAACTCTTGAATCAACCCAGTGAACTTTAGCTAACAAATCGTAGCAAAAACGCTGTGACACATGCGGCGGTGTTTCCGACAAAGAATCTAAGATTGAAGATTCTCAAAAATTGCCTGTAAAGTATATGCGAATCATGCCATGGGGAGACTTTTGTGAAAAATGTCCACCAAAGGAATTTTTCGAAGCCGGTGGGGCTGGACATGGCATGACTCCAAACGGCATGATGGGAGAATTCGTTGCTGGCCTTTGCAATCTACACTGTGGGACTGACTATCCCGAGTCCTACCCTAACATTCTCCAACCTAGAGTTACTCTCTCTCCATCTGAATCAAACACTACCCAGCCTGAACTTGTTACTCCTCAATCCGAATCAACCACCACCCAACCTGAAATTACCGCTTCCCAATCTGCAGGTCAAGAATATTCTGAAATCAAGTCAGATGATTACAAAGACAATAATTACACTATCCAATTTGAAGCTGACGATATCATTGACTTCAAGGCTGAACAGAAGGGCACTTGCACTACTGAAGGCATTTTCAGCTGTATTTCTGGAACATCGTTCCAACAATGCGCCAGCGGTACCTGGAGTGTTGCTCAAAACATGGCTCCAGGAACTGTTTGTGTAGCTGGAAACGGGTATGGTTTGAGCACTGTAGCAGCCGAAAAGAGAACGACGACGACCCAGGATATCCAGAATTCTACTTCAGAGGAAATGATGACCATGGTAGAGAAGAAACCTGTTGAAAAGAGATTGTGGATCCAAATTTTCAAATGGCAATTCTTCGGACCCAAACCACCAGTGCACCTTACTCCAGAGGAGCAGAAAGAGAAGGACACCGCAGCAGAAATCAAATATTCCAAGGAATTTCATCAATACGGTGGACATGGAGATCTCAAGAAGGAAGCCGAGGAAAAGAAAGCTGCCGATGAGAAACATGCCAAAGAATTTCATCAATTTGGCGGTGTCAACAAGGAAGACGAGAAGAAGAAAGCTGAGGAGAAGAAAGTTGCCGACGAGAAATACGCCAAAGAATTTCACCAATTTGGCGGTATTAAGACGGAAGCTGAGAAGAAGAAAGCCAAGGAGGAGGAGAAAAAAGCACTTGCTTGGAAACAATTTGGACCCAAGGATGGAGAAAAGCAAGAATAATTTGAAGTAAGAGATACAAGGCTCTGGAGTTGGGAAATTTGTTTAATATGTTTGCTGGGATTTGTTCTTGTTTTGTAATTCTTTTCGTGTGATTATGATACTCCATATAGCGGATGGTAGATCTCACACTCGCGCAGTTAAATTTGTTTTGTAATTTCGTGTGAATACGATACTCCATATAGCGGATGGTAGATCTCACACTCGCGTCGTTGAATCTGTTTTGTAATTTCGTGTGAATATGATACTCCATATAGCGGATGGTAGATCTCACACTCGCGCAGTTAAATTTGTTTTGTGATTCTTTTCGTGTGAATACGATACTCCATATAGCGGATGGCAGATCTCACACGCGCGTAATATAGATTGATATAATAAATTGAGGAATTTGTTCAACAAGATCCGATATAGCTTGACTGTCTGGGACCCGATACGTGAAGGAGGATGACGTAAACGAAGTGAATTGAAGAGTGGCCATATGAATGTAAAGAACAAACGCAAAAATTAGATCATTCAAATCCCTCGAGGAATCCAGTCATGACTATGACTGCATTGTCTCGTATTTTCGTATAAAAGGCGGGGAAATACAGATTGTCTGACACAGCATAGCTACAGCCCTACGCAGACACAGAGTAGAGAATATCTAGATCTCTTCGCTTACTAATTATGTTCTCAACACCCAATCACACTCCCGAAGTTGACTGCGGAATAATCCAAGGAAAGGATAATAAAAGTATACATAACCGACCTAAAAGCAGTGGCGTAGAGGTGCAAACTTACAAGTACTCAGGAAGTCCTGACTCTACCGTCGCGATGAAAGTTGAGTCAAGAATGTGTTAGAATTGAAGAGATTGCTGAAACCTTGAAGTTTGGAGCTGAGAAATGTACTTACTTACAGGGTTGTAAGCGCGCGCAAGGCTGTGTTGAACTCATAATAGTAGATGCGAATCATGCGAATGAAGCGAAAGGTCCTGGCCATAGGTTGTTGAAACAAACCAAATATAAATCACGAGCTGCGATTGGTTCAAATTTTCGTAGATGAAGGCAAGGGTCCTCATTGTCCACACAGAATCTGCCATCGTAGTGTGCACTCACACGAAGATATAATCTATTGGCGAAGCATATGCATGAATGTCCGAATCGGTGTCAAGTAAGGCTTTGTGCAGGGCTTCTTTGGTAACAACATCGAACCGACTCTAGGGTAGCATTGCATATTTTTCACATGACATGTAAAGCGAAGGTGCCCAGTCTGTGCCTCTACGGTTCTGTTTAAATACCTGCTTTGCGTTTTTACAAGTAGGTATTAATGAAGGTGTGAAAGTTGCCTGTTTAATGTGTTGGGCTGTTAAAGTTAGCCATGGTTTCTCTTGAAGTATTTCAGGAGCAGTTCCATAAGTTGAAAGAGGTTGAGGAGGGAAAGGATCAACTCATTGGGGTTAGTCGTTTGTCTTTCTGCCCCGCACAATACTAACGGACGATTTTATTGGTAGAAACTGTTTGCCCGCATCAACGAGTTGGAAAGTGGTCTGACGGAGACGAAGTTACATCTTGAGAGAGAACAGGATACTGCGAAATTATACCAGTCGAAACTCTCTGATGTTCAGGTGAATCTTGCGAGAATCGAAGAGAGAATTGTATGGCTGGCCAATGATTGCTCTTGAAAACATCGTTATTGACAACATTCGAAGGATTCCAATAGTTATGTGTCGGTTCTCATTGATGGTGATTGCATGACGGTATGTACAGATGCAACTTTTCCTAGCCATCAAATTCGTACTTTGGCAGTCACTAAATGTTGAAAGTTTTGCGATGATCTCATCAAATCCTCTCAGCAAGGAGGGCTAGAGACAGTCCATCGCCTAAGAACAAAAGTGGGCGATTATCTTTCAACGGAGCTTGAGTTACCAAGCCAGATTTCAATCCGCATTCGAGTGTATGCAAATAAGAAAGGCTTGGCATTGGCCTACAGTAACAATGAAATCATAGGTAATGCAGATGATTTTGATATGTTTGTTCGCGGTTTCAATATGGGACACCCCATGTGCGATTTTGTGGATGCAGGTGATGGTAAGGAGTGTGCGGATTCGAAGCTGAAAGGTACTTTTCCTGAATTCATGAAAAATGAAATCTGTTGGAATGGAAAATTCGTTACTGACCCTCTTCGTAGAACGTTTCACGCACGATATGGCTGATGTCCAATGCCGAGCGGTTATCTTTGGTGGTTCAGCAGATAATGGCTACGCGCGAATTCTCCAGCCATATGTAGGAAATGTTGCAAAGAGTAATCGACTTGTCTTGCTTGAAGGGCCTCCATTTGCTAAAGAATTAGCAATAATGAAGGAAAATTTCCTCGTTGCTCGCTTCCCGGGTGTGTTCAGAAACACAAAGTTATCAGTTCGGCGAGTATCATTACCAACCACACCTCCTAGAAGTTCCACCCCAGATACGCCCAGCTATGCTACAAGAATGCTGAGTAATGTCGTTTCGGATGCTGTGAGTATGGAGGAAAGCAGCGATTCTTCAGTGGCTATTCCGGCACGAACTAAGTATGCAGTACTTCACAATCGCAAAGGACAGCGTCTCGATGCCATCATTTCCCCGCCTTCATCACTCGTTACTTTGATGAGAAACACAAAACATTGCAACATGTTTCATATTTTTGGAGAATGTCCGTATAAGAAGTGTAATTTCTTGCACGGGATAAGGCTTGACGAAAAAGCAATCGACGCTCGACGATTCATCTCACGCTTCAAACCATGTCCCTCCAAGTTGAATTGCGAAGATGAAAATTGTTTATCGGGGCATCAATGTCCTGACAAGGCGTGTGCAAGAATTGGAAAAGGCTGCAAATTCAGCAAGGACATGCATAACGTTGATAGATCTTAAGAGGACTATAGTGGTGGCGTGGACGTGTTGGTTCGTTAGGATCTGGGAGATGAGGTAATATACTCACTCGTGTTTTGCGTACTAGGCAGTATTGGAGGTCTCGAGTTTGATATTCTTCATATACTCGAGTAAGGTTCAACAAAGCTTGAGAAGGGACGATTGTGCTTTATTCATTCATTGGTTTCCGCATAAGTACAAACGAATAGATCGAACAATCAATCAATCAATCAATCAATATCGTACTTGCCCAGGTTGTGCAGGTGCAGGTGTGTCGTGAAAGCTAATGAGCCACACACATGAGCCACACATCTTATGTGGACGCCCGATTCCAACCAGTGACCTCGGGATACAATTGATGGAGTTTCAGTCGCAAATACACGTTCGAAAAGAATTAAGATAAGAAAGCTCATACAAGTACCTAGGTATCTAACATTGTTCTTCAGGTATACCATACGATCATGAAAAGCATACCAGTATCATCTACCAACGCTCCTAAGCAACCTGTGAAGTCTATAATATAAGCAAGAGAATTCTCGATGCGAAAGCCTATCTTATATCTCATATTAACAAATAAATGCGGGCACAGAAATAAACAACCTATAAGGGCGAGACCATCAATATCACATGTCCCTAAAATTTGTAGGTAATACTTGACAGTGCTGACTCTATTCCGAGCCTCCATCAAAACATAGATGGCGATATGACTGTAACATTGAAATACCTGACAGATCATTTCGAAAAGCCTGACGAGATCTGACTAGACCTGATTTCGAATACTTGAATTTAATAGTCAATAAACCAAAAGTATAGCACGTCATATGGATTTTTCAGCCCAAAATGTTTTTTGTACGAAGGAGCGAGGCCCGTTGGGTCACGTGACATATCGAGAAACTATATCATTTCAGAAATCCTTCGGATTCCTTTCTAGTTCTTTATAGAATTTTTCTATATATATTATTACTTAACTTCTAATAAAATTTAAAAGTTTTAAATAATTTGAATGATTTGAATGATTTGAATGATTTGAATAATTTGAATAATTTGAATGATTTGAATGATTTGAATAATTTGAATGATTTGAATGATTTGAATGATTTGAATGATTTGAATGATTTGAATGATTTGAATGATTTGAATGATTTGAATGATTTGAATGATTTGAATGATTTGAATGATTTGAATGATTTGAATGATTTGAATGATTTGAATGATTTGAATAATTTGAATAATTTGAATGATTTGAATGATTTAAAAGATTGAAAAGTTTCAAAAGATTTAAAAGATGAAATTATAAATATAAAATTAAAAAATTATTCTAAATTAAAAAATTCATATAGAGTATTATATAAAAAAACAAAGAGGTAAACTCTATTAATAATCCTCGGCTATTCCTACCTACCTAGGAGGAAATAAGGGGTTTTTATATCCGTAGTATAATAGATATAGTATAAAAGAGTAGAAGGTAGTAGGGTTATAAAGTAGTCCTTCGTAAATACTACAGATAAGTTATTAAAATATAACACCTCCGGTGGAGAAGAGGAGGAATAGGCTCTATATAATATATTATAAAACGTATAAGGAGGTAGATAGGAACTGATTGCTTTTTCTAATGTTACGGAAGTCACCGTATAGTGTAACCTTACAAGTACTAATCCCGATACTCCTTTGGAGTATTCACTCTCATGATTACTAACACTATTTTATTCATTTAATTTGTGTGCCCTATATACCTAATTAGGCGAGTACCTTGCTCGATCAGGGTATATAAAGCAGGTGTAATCCTTATAATTATACTTCAAGTCAATCTAGTTTATTATTACTCTATATACCTACCTCCTAATCAAAGTAACTATTAGACCTAGCTATTACCTCCGTAATATCTAAACTATACAAAGAAGATTTATAAATACTAGCTATAGAAAGAGGTCATATAACCAGTACTAAGTTTCACTTACAGTAGAACCGCTATATAGTTAATTAAATACTCTTATCTAATTTCAAAAAAAGCTACTAAGCAGTCGATTAAATACTATAATAAATATAAAAAACCTATGAATATAAGCGATTTAATAGATATAGAACGAATACTTTCTTAAAACTCTAAATGCTGACTAATATATAGATTGAAGTTATTTAGAATATACTTATTCTATAGGGGGTTTATTCAATTATTATATATTATTTATTATATTCCTTTATTATTTTTGTAATACTATTAGAGTAAACTTTAGTTATTTTAAAGCTTTTCAATATTCAAAATAATTAAATATAGTGGTTTTGAAGTTTTAGAGTGATGGTGAGTAAGTGTTAGTTAGTTTAGTATAACTTTTATATATTACTGTTATAGGGTATATATATAGTAGTAAGCTATTAGGACTTCGATCCCTGATACTATACCTTTTGAACAGATTGTGTGCGTGGTGTAGTGGTAAAGCTTACAACTCCTATTGTATCCGCTTACGTAACAATTACTCTATTAATATTATATAGTAATTGAGTAGAAAAAGGAAAGAAAGTATAATACCCCTATTAATTAATTCAAAGCTATTAGATATAACTATATTCAATCTTAAAACTGAGGTATATCAATTTAATCCCTATAATTACTCTTAGGGCTCGTTCGGATCGATTTGTTTTTAAATATTAGACTAATATATTAGTCTAATATAATGTTTACTAAATATAATATTATATCTAATATATATTAGCTCAAATAAATGTATTTACCGAATATAATAGTAGATCTAATAAAATATTGAGTTTAATAATATTAAAATAATAAATATAACAAATTTTCTCAATCTTTTTTATATAGTATTTAATAGTAAGTAATTTTGGAGATTTAGTTAAACTAATATATTTGAGAAAAAGTGTTATCTTCTTCATTTTCAATTTAATTTCTTTATTTTCAACTCAACCTTGTATATCCCAATATTACCCCAAATATATTAGCTTCATTTAAATATCAATATTTCAAATCCCTTATCATTTTATTATTATTAGAGATTTCACTAATAAAATAAAAAATCGATTCGAACGAACCCTTATTCTTTAACCACTTCGAATTTAAATTTATTATTAGCTTTAATCAGATTATATTATTCTAGATTAGAAGATTACGATAGCTTCGAGTTTATATCCATTATATATCCGTTTCAATAATTGTATCTGTTGTACCGCAGATTCTATATTACAGGGGTAGTATAACCATCATATATGACCCCAATTCTCTATACGGTAGGTACGACATATCTTCATCTCGGCTCCACTAACTATATCCACCCGCAATCTTCCACCCCACCACGCCTCTTACATCAAAAGGAAAACGCAAACGCAAAACATTGTATAAAGACATATCTCAAAAAGAAGCAAAAGGGTTGTTCTCTCAGGCGCGAGTCGAACGCGCGACATCCAGATCACGTGAGCAGTTACAGTCTGACGTCATAAACCAACTAGACGACCGAGAGTGATGTTCGAGTGAACTCGAATTGGTCATTTTACCATTAAGGCAAATTGTTGATGAGATGTGGTGTTAAATTAAAATATAATTGAACCACAGAAGCTCAAATTAAAGAAATAATTCAACGTCGGGTAACATCGGTCAAACGGTTAAGCCGAATGCGAGGATCTTCCATTCTGTGTAATTTCTACATTCTGTTTTGCTAATAATATTATTTTCCAGTGAACCTCAAAACAAAAGCCTTTCCATATACTCTCTCCAAATAGGCTCCCTGTGATTCCATTCTTCGATTGTTTGCTGGAGCTACATGTGTTGTACAAATTCTTATCTTCGGTACTTTCCACCCTCCGGAACCCAGTGCACGTAGGATATTGACACACTCCTCTTCCTCTCCAATGCTGGTGTTCCCAAGATCTACAAAGCAAACCAACGCCACATCAGCCCTCAAGTGAGTAGGCTTAACGACTATGACCAATTCGTCCAAGTTTTTGAACTCCAAGAGAGCTGAATTCTTGTACGGTAAACAAGGTTCCGAGGCGGCCTGGCGATCATCAGAGTGTCTCGAATCCAAAGAGAACTCTGTAGGATTCTCGGCACCATATTCGTCGTCTTTAGATTCTATCTGTTCAAGATATGAATTTTCCAATCTCTGCAATTTTGGGATGTTCGTGATGCCATGTTCGCCGCTTGCAGGCTGTCTCAATTCGAAGGGAAAGTCTATCAAGCTCGACAACTCTGAGAAATTATCCACCGCCAGTCTTCGCACTCGTTGTTTATCTTGATCGAAGTTTTGGAACAATCGTTGTATGAAAGATAGATATGGAATTTCTTCGGTAGTACTCCAAGCTACGCTAAAATATATAGTGTCCGTATCGAAGTTGACCATGGGTGGCTTCTCGTGAGGACTTGGAGAAGCTAAGTGATATTTGGAGATCTGGGTAAGGGTCACGTCTGAGCTAAGAAGAGTATAGAATGGCAGCAGCAATTCTCGAGCTTCGTGGTTGATTTGTAAGAGGGCAATAGGTGCAGTCACTCTAACATGATGTTTGGTGGTAAGGGGATCCCATGCTTCGGTCGGAGTTGTGCGTGGTCTGACTTCGATGATTCGAGGGAAAAGAGCAGGAGTATAACGCCAAATGTGATGTCGTAGCTCGAGGTACAAGTCAGGAAAGCAGCGGAAAGTATTTTCTGCTCCATTTGCTGCCCTCATTGTTTGTTAGTGCTTCTAGCAATTGTATGTCGGAATTGGGATAAATTGGAATATAGGTGTTTGAAAACTTTGATTCATGGGTCGTATGACTTCAGTCGAATTTGATCTTAATTCAAAATTATGGATTAATATTAGCAGGTGCATGAGATTTTCTTATGAGGAAGGTTCTGCCAATTGGATGTTCCTTCTGTTTTGGCAGGCGTCAAAATTTTATTAGACTTGTTTTTACCTTGTCTGGCTCTGTCGTATGGCTTCTTTCTTTTCTTTCTTTCTTTTTCTGATGCCACCTGTGTTGCCTAGCCACTCCTGTTTCGTTCGGGTTATAATACGAATAAATCAGCATATATGACGGCTTATTTAGTTTCTTCGACAAAGATCTTTACTCCATAACCTCCAATCGAACGGATTGAGAATTTCACATGGACACTTTCAACTCTCCCATATCTTCACAATATTCAAAACACCATCTGGGATGACTTGCAACCTCCTGTTACAACACAAGCATTCCTCTCATCTTTAAAACCTCATTTTTTCCTCGGCGGGGAGTATTCACGCTAGGTTGATCTTCTCAAGTCATATGCTCGACCCAAATCTTCAGTTTTGGAAACACAACATCAATTAGGGTTAAGAATACTGCACAACTTTCATTTCGGGAGACACACTGTGTTTTGTTTTGGCAAAGATAGGCATCTTAACAATCTCGAATGTTCAGTGCTGCGTCTTGAATCTTGATAGACTCAATTTGGGCCTAGCTGATTATCGATAGTCCAAACTACAGGCCGAGGATCCGAAGCTTCCAATTCCCAAACTCACTTAGATCATGCAGATTGCTTGATATCCTGAGTCCAGTTTGAATATCGGGTTGTTGTCATATATCAAAAGCCTATGTTTACGCCGCTAGACCAGACGATCTGATACCCTAGAAATGGGAGGCGCACGCAATCCTCACAGAGCTATAACACGCTTCTTTGTGTAGTGGAGAGATTGAAGGATTGAGATATCCACTATAAAATAAAGTAGAAGTTTGAATTCATCGTTCCTCCTTTAATTTGGGGGCCAACTCCAATTTACATCTGCACGCATGTTCATACAAGTGAATAGAAATAGTCCCGGAATGGTTCAAATAATTCTCTTGGGCGAAGTCATACATCGAACTTACAAAGAGCGGTACCCAAGTGTACTGTCCAAAAGGTCACTGGAGCCCATACTACTATCTTGCTTTATACTTTTCAAACGAGACTTGCACTTTCTTGTTCTGTGAATCAGAAATGGTTTGTGAAAGTTTCGGAGGAAGTGATAATCAAAAGCATCAATACGTTTTCCTCGACTCCGCGCTTTCCGTCAACTATATCACAAATATCCATTCTTCAAGCAGTTTACCCCAATTCAGAATACCGATGCATTGAGTATCACTTACCAAGGAGCATAAGAATAACATATCCCCAGCCAAATTCCCACAGGATAGCGACCCAGCCGACAACTTCATGAGTTTCACGCATCGAATCCGAACCACACCATTGATTCGGATTTCGCGATTTAACTATTTGGAGGCTTCGATTCGATAATATTTCAAGTCATACATACATTTGATTCATTAATAGATATGCTAAGGCGGAAGATGGCCGCTCGTGGCTATGAAAACCGACTCGAAGAAGCGCGGGTATGTCAAGCTTGTATTAGATTAGTCCCTTTATGCCAACGCAAGATTTAGAGAAACCTACCAGAGGTGCCTGATCAAAGCATTCCGATAATTCCAATCCTCACACCTGCAGACTCGGAATGGGTATGTCATTTCAAAAGATTCTCTCTGAAGAATGTGTTTCCCTAATACGAAGTCTAGACCTATATATCACCCTCTTGCCACTATGCAGGGACTGGTCCTGTGGCAGAACCCGTTCCAAATAATGTATCGCCTCCTTCTAATAGCTCTGTTGGTAACTCGGATATATCCACAAACGCTAGGCTCAAAGACGCGAGGCACAAGCTCAAACATGATATCCTCAGACAAATAGGACAATCACTGAAAGACTCTGATCAGACACAGGTGATAAAACTAAGACTGAGGTTCGACCAGATACAAGTTGGGATGGCAGAAACAGATGCTCGAATAGAAAGGACGATAAATCAAAATTTGCGAGCTGAACAAGCAAAATTAGAAGAGGAATTGAGAAAAGCGAGAGCCGATTTAGCAGTAATAGACGCAAATTTGGCCTCCGACGAGATGGTCGACGACGAAATGGGCGAGGACGAAATGGGCGAGGACGAAATGGGTGAGGACGAAATGGGCGAGAATAGAATGAATGAGAACGATGTATCGGGAGAGAATGAGAGGGAAGAGAATGAGAGGGAAGAGAATGAGGAGGAAGAGGACGAACCGGAGGAGGAACTGGATGATCACAAAATTGATGAGTACAAAAAGGAAGAGAGTGAAACATTGGAGGAAATGGAAGACAAAAAAATGGATGACTATGAAATGGAGGATCACAAAACGAACCAGCATGAAATGGACAAGGATCAAAAGAGGGAAAAATACTATGATGAGAAAGAAATTCTTAATAGTTCGTTTAGGCAAGCCATTCGGAAAGAATTGGACGACGAACTCGAGAAAGCATTTAGGAAGAACAAAAACCTCGACTTGCAGAAAAAGACGGACGGGCATTCATCCAAAAAGCGCAAATTCGAGCATCAAGAAGAACAATCAGATAGACCAAACCCTGGTCCATCTTCCCCAGATGTGGAATCCGGTGGCCCAGAAATAGCGTGGATAGATACGGTACCGTTACTGAGAGAGCTAAACACACATCTGGCAGGGTATAAAATAGGTAGTTCAGCAGAGGAGATAATGGACATTCGATCCTGGATTGACAAGGGATTCGATACTGGAATGAGAAGACTACTGAGAAACCAGCCTATTGCTGATATACTAGGTTCATGGGACAATCGATACGAAGAGGAGGGACTGAATAATATTCTTAGGTCGGTTGTACTAGTATACGATTCGATTGAAGAGTTACACACGCTTCGTGCGCACTATGATCGAATTCTCGGTGAAGCGGTGCTCTCATCATATTCTAGAGCGAAAGTCCGAGACTCAGGGAGGAACGATTGATGAAACCAATTTTGGAAAACCGGCTCTTATAGATTCTTGGAAAGCTTGTATTATTTCTCTGCAAAGATGCGATGAATTCCTGTTTCAATTGGCACTTCATAGGATGTACAGCCCCATTACTGCAGTTTCTAGAATAATTCCAGAAGGTTTAAATCATCGAGAGAAAATTTGTACTGTTATATTGATTCAGGAGCAGCTTGTATCAGATTCTGAGTCTCTAGATATGGAAGATTGCCAGTGTCCTTAGTATCACATGAGCCGTTCTATGATCTCTTTTCTGACCTTTAAATGAACAAATGGTGTGTGGAGTATAAATATGTCATAAAATAACAGAAGTATTTCATGAATGTTTCAACAAATAGAGTCCGCTTCGAAAGCCTTCGAAACGAAGCTGGGCAAGGTGGTGTTTATGTGTGAAGGGACGGGTTTCAGGAAAACATCAAAAAGAGAGAAAAGAAGAGAAGGATGGAGAGAATCATTCAAGAACATCAATGAACCAGGTTGGTTGGCGTTTTGGGTCTGATATATGGACTAGATTACATGAATAACTACGCCATATCAGCCCATACCAAAGAAATATTTACATTGAACTATATGTAAAGTCGAATGGCATTATCATCAACTGAAATACGTGTCATACAGAGCCATCCCAAACCATTCCTCGTACCATGGGTATCATAACATTATTAAACACAACAAAATGGGTAGAAGATTCCTTTTATACACCAAGACACCATAAACCCACCCCTAGGATTCATTACCAACGACCTTACCCAGAACTCCAGTCCGATACGTTAAGACTCATGCAGCAGCAATACCCCTCATACGTCTTCTAATCTCTAGCGTGCGTTTCACACTAAAATTCTTTTGGTCATCTGGCATATGTTCACCACTGACAATGACCAAAACCTTCATTCTAGGATGATATTTCAAATCATGTAGTAGCTTCGGCGTAATAAGAAAGTACTGGCTATCATGTTCCTGACATGCAATCTCGACCATACGTCCGTGGACCATTCGTTCGTTACGAGGATCCATTCCTTGGTTGATTTCGTCGACGACACGGAAAGGAGAGCGAGCAAGTGATTGTAAAGACATGAGGTAGAAAATTGTGGAAACAGAGCGTTCACCTCCCGATTGACGGTGCTTATCAAGGAGCTGAAGGGTTTCGTTTTCTCTGTTATGATGTTAATAAGTTGGCATGTCTGAGATATTTTGATAAAATGACTGTACCTGAATTTGACCTTGATCTCAATTGCCCATTTTTCAAAATCGTCTTCTTTGTACACACCAACTTCACCAGCACATCCAATCTGCTCGAAATTATGGGAAAAAGCCTGACTGATCTGCTCAACAAGCGCATCAAGTCTCGGTTCCCATTTCGTCATGATCTCAGTAACCTTCTGAGCGACGTCTCCTAGTTCACCCTCGGTCCCAGCGATTCTGGTGCTTAATCGACCGATGTCAACTTGACGTTTCTCATACTCTCTAATAGCGTTTGGATTGTTGGCTTGAATAAAATCGAGTTTATGTTCCTCGCTGTTGATCTCTTGCTGTATAGTTTCGACTGTCCTATCCGGGGAAATGCTGGAGAAGTACTCTAGAGAGTCATGATCATCTCTCTCCTCAGCCCCTCTTCTGATATCTTTGCATCTTTCTAGTGCAGCTCGTGCAGTCAGAGTTGCTCGCTTTGACTGTGCTTCGATCTCGCCTAGTCGTGTACGTTCCGTTTCAAGGTTTGCTACAATATCACTATTGCGCTCTCGTAGAGCGTGCACATCTGAACCTGCTTCAATACGTCGGATTTCGGCCTCGTCAAGTTCTTCGGAACAAGCAATGATCTGATTGATTTGCTCGATATGTTTCATCACGTGCTCTCCCTTTTTGAGACCAGCAATGTCTTGCTCTTTTACAATTGCTTGAATTTCCGCCCTAGATTCAGAGCTAGATGTTTCCAATCTCTCCAAAGACTCCTTCTCTCGAGCTGCTACCATGTCAGTATATGCTCAAGTATATCTATGGCTGTGCCACTCACCAAGCAATCCTGGAAGAGCTCTTTGTTCACCATAAGCTTTCTGCTTTTGTTGTTTCTCTTTCATGAGCGCATCCTGGTTACAAAATCTCATTAGTAATGTATGCTAACACGAGAATCGTTGACTACCTACCAGTTCATCCCTTTTCGGATTTGCAGTACTCGAATACTGTACAATCTTTTCAGTGATGTCTTTGGCCTCCCTCTTTAGGGATTCGAATTGTCGGTCGAGGTCTGCCAGATTTTCTTCAATCACACGCCGGCCTGAAGTATCTACAACACCATCGACGAAAAATTTGGCTCGATTGATTCCGGAAGTCTGGATTGACGTGGCACCATATTCTCTTCGCGTTGCAATCTTATACGAAGTGGTTTTTGTCAGAAAAGATGTAATTCCGGTACGGACAATTCTTTCATACTGTTCGTCACTGATGTCCTGGAGGGTAACTGCCGTCTTGTGAGCTTTGATATCATTACAAAGCATAGCAAGGACTGGCTCCGGGGCATCAATAAAATCAATAGCCCACCCATCAAGACCAACACTATTCAGTTGAGCTATAGTAGCCGACGACCGACCAATAGTCTCAGCAAGAGTCTGTGTGCTCGTTTGTATTCTGACCTCCGCCAGCTTCATCTCTGCTGAATGGAACTGATTGTTTAATCGCTTGTAATCAGCCTGGGTTTGTGCTGTGATAGTGAGCATGTTGCTCGAACGAAACAATGAGTCAATAACATCAGTATATCTTGGGTCTTTCACAGAGCATGTTATCAAGGGAGGGCCATAGACCTCCTTCTCAAACTTGTCTTGGTTTTCCTGAACCCACTTCCAAGCTGTAGCAGTATCTCTCGAATGCTGTGCAATCTTATTAATCTGTTTCCCAGCTTGACTATCAAAGTCAGCGAGAGCCTGCTTAGCTCTGTCTTGTTCAGCTCGTAAGTCTCGTCCTTTGGCTTTCAACGCTTCTCTGCTTTGTTCGAGCTCCGTTACTGTTGCTTTGATGGCTCTGATGTCCTGCTCGATTGCTCTCTAGGTAAAAATTCAGCAAGGATCTATATAAGAGTTGATGAATTGGGCACTCACGATATTTTGATTGTATTCAGTGGGATTGAATTCTATTGCAGGTTCTCGCAGGCGGGCTTCAAGGTCAATTATGGTCCTTTTGACCTTTGCAAGATCTTTCTTGCGTTTATCCTCTGCCTCTAGAACAACTTTGATTCTCCGATCACAATCCCCAATTTTGTCATCCCATTCATCGACTTTTTTCAGAAGAACATCGGCCTCTGCTTCTGCATGTTGTAGGTTATTCCTGCGGTTGGACACGATCTTGGCTAGTTCCTTCTCCAAGGAATCCTTTTCGTTAACGAAACGCAGAGTCGGTTCGACCTGGCTTTCCAAAGTACGAAACCGCTTGGTTGCTTCTACCTTCTCTTCCTTGCATTCCTGATATCGAAGACGTGCGTCTCTGTATTCTACAAAAGGAATACTGTTCTTTAGTTTTTCTAAGTCTTTCTCAATCTGAATTCGCTCTTCGAGTCGTTCCATTTCCGGACGCAGCCCCGCCTGTCGTTTTTCAAGATTTATCAACTGTTCCTTGTCTTGTTCAAGCTGGATTTGTCTCGATTTCTCTTCTCTCCTCAAATTCTTAAGCTCGTCATGCCAGTCCAGCATCTCTTGCGCAGCGACTGCCCTTTGTGTATGATGCAGAAGTTCGACGGGTGTTAATGCTGCAAACTCGGAGACTTTATCTTGCGGCAAGAACTGGCAAAGGTTATCAATTTGAATGCTGAAACCCTTGACCAAAGCTAGAACATTTTTGTGGCTTGTCTTCTTGTCATTTATCCAGAATTCGCAATTGTTCCCATCTTTGATAATTCGAGTTTTGATGATATGGTTTTCGCGCTCGTTGCTTCTCTTCTGAAGTTCTATTTCAATAAAAGCATCCCGTGAACCATGTTTGACAAATTCTCCCACTTTATCCGCCCGACCAAGGTTTTTTGGCGAAGAACCCAACCCCAAGCAGAGGGCACAAACCACGGAACTCTTACCAGTACCATTTGGACCGATCACCATGTTCAAATTTGAGCCAGGGAAGAACTCGGCACTCTCGTAGGTAACAAAATTATTGAGCTTAACTCGAACTATAGCGCCTGGGGCAAATGTGCCGCGTTCGGATGCGATTGTGGGAGTACCGGGAACCCTTCCGACATTTTGTCTGTCAACTTCTTCTCCCGACGATGGCGAAGTATCGGGTTCAAGGATCCTTTCTTCAGATTCGTAATGTATGGTACGTGATCGTTTCGCAGGTCGCGTGGGTATAATATTTTGTGAACTTTCATCGCCATCGATTCCCTCCCTTGACCGGCGCCCACGAGATGGCATTTGTGGTGCCATTTTAACGATTCAAGATCTGAAAGATTGTTGTAAATTCAATCGAACCAATGAAAAGATGTGCTAAGGTGCTTGAACTTAGATCATTTTCAAGGTATAGATAGATGAATGGAGTGCATTAACTAATTCAATTAAAGAACCGTAGTTTGCGTAAGACGCGTTAAACTTTAGGAATTCGCGTTTAGCATCAATGCGCTAGTACTGTAGAGGGTAGCGTATTGAGATTACCCCACCATTGATGGTTGATCAGCTGATTTCGCATTTTCAACTTCACCTCAACCACACTTCACCCTCTTTTACATTTCTCAACTGATTGTGCTTCTCTCCTTTGTTAAACCATGATTGCATTTGACATGAGAACGGAATAGAACAGATGATAGATTATGTCACAAAGCCACTGGAATAGATGGTGTTCAAGAACCATGATCCTACGTGTACATTCTTAGTGAGGCAAATGGGAGATGCAGAGAAAGTAGTAGGCTGGATGGACTTTCTCTCCCTTTCCCCCTTCTCTATAAATGAAACAAGAGGGCTTTATACACCACAAAGCCAACTGCTTGCGTCTTTGTAACGGATGTT